AAACTGGACATCAGGGAGCAGAGGCGAATAATCCCTGAAAGAACAGAAGCAAACAGGGTGAGCCCTGTGATTGCCCCAGGTTGCTGCTCAGAGAGAGTATCCAGAATGCAGAATCAAGAGTAGTAACCTAGGCAGAGCCCTGTGGTCTCCTTGAGAGATGGAGTTTGTTGTCTAGGCAGGCCAAGGCGGCTAGAGTTCACAGGGCAGAGGACCAGACAAAGAGAGCAGCGCGAAGAAGAGCTCTGGAAATCTGCCGAGGATCTCCCTTGGAGCTGCAGCTGAATACTGATCAGTGCGTGTGTGGGAGGAAACCATACAGTGCCAGGGAAAGAACAACCTGAAAGGACTGGAAGGAACAATCCTTGAAATTCATACAGGGCTAGAAATAGTCTGTTTCCATTAGCCAAAGTGGAAAAACCTGCACATTCATGAGTTCTCAGACACAGTATTCAGAAGCATGTTATATCAGCAGAGGAGAAAATTAGTCGTAAAGGTTGCTCTAAATCTGAGTAACTAAGCATAAAAGCAAACCTCAAAAGGAGGTAAAACCAGACTCAAATTGTCTCCAAAAACATAACACAAAGCACAAGAATATTTATTAGAAAAATATGTAGCATCCAATAGGGTAAAATCTACAATGGTCATCCAACCAAATATTGCCAAGCTTACAAAGAAGCAGGACAAAATAAAACCCATAATAATAAGAAAAATCAACCAGTAGAAACAGACCCAGAAATGACACAGATGATGGAATGAGTAGAAAGTCAGTAGTTACTATAACTACATTCCATGTTAAAGGTAGATGACGGATAGACCATGTTAAGTAGAAATATGGAAGACATAAGAAAGATTCAAATAAAATTCTAGAGGTGAAAACTAAATGATCTGATACAAAAAAATACACTGGATGGGTTTAGTAGCAAATTAGATCTCGCAAAAGAAAAGGTTAGTAAACGTGAAGAAACAGTAGAAACTGCAAAATGAAACACAGAGAACAAAGACTGAAGGAAAAACAAGTGAACAGAGTATTGGTTAATTGTGGGGCAACTTCAAGGAGCCTAAGGGGTTAGTAAGAGAACTTTTGGGGGTGGATATGTTTATTATCTTGATGGTAGTGACGGTTTCACAGCTGTACACATATGTTAAAACATCTGGTTGTATGCTTTAGATATATGTATTTAATTTACTATACTTCCATCATGTCTCAACATTGGTATAAAAAAAAAAATCTGAAACTAAAATCCCAGATAATAACAAGTGGAATGGTGTAGCAGTGAGTTGGGATACTAAGTGAGGGGAAGCAATAGTTTTCTAAGCTTCCTGTCTGTTTGAGAAGAATGGGTATGGATACCTACTAACTGTGTAATTTATAAAAATTTGTTTTAAAACAAGTATCTTAAAAACATAGATAGCTACTGAATGAAGCAAAATAGAAAGCATGACTTGAAACCAGTGTAAGAAAAAGCAGAGTAAAAAATAGTGATCAGTCCATTTAAAGCAGAAAAAGTAAAAATAAGAAACCTAGAACGATAGTAAACAGAAATTGAAAATACTTGAATGAAGCTTTTTATTCAAGAAACTAGAAAAAGAACCACAAAATAGCCTGAAGGAAATAAGACAGAGGGACTCCATAAACTTAAAGCAGAAATAAAAAGGAACAGGAAAACTGTAAAGTTCATCAATAAAACCCAAACCTGTTTTTTTTTTTTTTTTAAGATCAGTAAAATAAACATTTGCAAGAGGAAAAAAAGACAGGAGGTAGTAATAACATTAGGAATGAAAAGGGAAAGCAATATTAGAATATGTTTTAAATTATAAAAAATATTGTAATTATTTTATGCCAATAAGTTTTGTTTTTTTAAATCAACTTTATTGAAGTATAATTTACACACAATAAAATGCACACCTTTTAAATGTATTATTTGAGAAATTTTGGTAACTATATGCCACTTGTAACCACTACCACCATAATCAAGGTATAAAATATTTCTGACAACCCAGGGGTTCTCTTGTCAGTCCTCAGTCAATCCCCTTCCTCTGCCTCTTAGCACTAGGTAACAATTGATTTGAGCAGCCCGGTGGCTCAGTGGTAAAGCATCTGCCTGTCAATGCAAGAGACACAGGTTCCATCCGGGGTCTGGGAAGATCCCCTGGAGAAGGAAATGGCAACCCACTCCAGGATTATTGCCTGGGAAATGCCTGGGGCAGGCGTGGAGGGTGGGGGGTGGGCAGGGGCAGTGTTGCAAAGAGTTGGGCATGACTTGGTAACTAAACAACAACTGTTCATCTTATTTCTATATGATAGTTTGCCTTTTCTTAGAGTTTTGTATAAATGGAATCAAGATATCTATCTACCCTTTTATATATTCCTTTTTTCACTCAACAAAATTATCCTGAAATTCATCCATGTTAAATATCAACAGTTTATTGCATTTCTTTCCTGAATAGCAGCCTAATAAGTGTGTGGGTCACTCAGCCGTGTCTGATTCTTTGTGACCCCATGGACTGTAGCCCATTAGGCTCCTCTGTCCAAGGGATTCTCCAGGCAAGAATACTGGAGTGGGCAGCCTTTCTTTACTCCAAGGGCTTTTTCCAACTCAGGGATCAAACTCAGGTCTCTTGCATTGTAGGCAGACTCTTCACCATCTGAGCCACCAGCGTAGCTAATAAGGATATATCACAATTTTAAAATCAATTCCTCTTTTAATGAACACATGGTTGTCCAGTTTGAGGCTCTTACAAATAGAGCTGCTATGAAAATTCATTTCCAAGTGTTTTGTTTTTTTTTAAATTCCTCCTAAATGAGTGGAAGTTCTGGGTCTGATGGTAAATGTAAGTTTATCTATATAAGAGACTGTCGCTGTATGAAAATCCTAGTTGTGTCACATCCTTGACTACATTTTATAGCAATATAAGTGAGAACCAAAATGAAACAATTTTCTAAAGAGGAATATTAACAAAATTAGCTGAAGGAAAGTAAGGAAACCTGAAGAGTAATAACCATGCAAAATACTGAAATGGCAATCAAAGGTCAACAGCATTCTCCATAGATATACTAGGATCAAAGTGTTTTATTAGTAAAGTTCTATCAAATTGTCCAGGAATAGATAATGCCATTGTTCTTCAATGTGAACAGAGAAAAAGATGGCAGTTCATTTTACGAGGCTATTACAATTCTTATACCAACATTTTGTAAGGATAGCATGAAAAAAATCCACCATTTAATATCACTTCAATCAAGGAGGCAAAAATCCCACATTGGGTATACTTTAAAAAATAAGCAATGCCAAGCATGATTGAGAAGAGGTTATAGTAGTAGTAATGGCAGGATACTTTAACAGAAAAATCTAGCAATATCATTTACTATACTAAACAATCAAAGGATAAAACCATATGTCATCTGAGAAGATACACAAAAAGCATTAAAATTTTTTTTTAAATCTTGTTCTTGCTTTTAAAACATATATATACAACATGCATACACATACTTAACAAACTGAACACAGATGGATGTTTCTCTGGGAAGCACCTATCCAAGAAAATCCAGGAAAATTGACTGTCACTATTTGAACCAATTTGAGAATTCAGCACTGTCTAAATACACAAGATTAACACTAAAATCAATACCTTTCTCTACACATCAGGAGTAACTAATTAGAAAACATAATGGAAAAAATAAATATAATACCTCTATATACATTCTAGGAATAAAACTAACAAAGGAATAAAATGAATCAGACCTGTATAAGGAAATCTATAAAATTTATTCAAGGGCAGTATTTAAAATCTCAGCCTTTTACTGTAAGTGTTTCCTTTACAATACTTATGAAAAACCGTGTTTTAAAAAACCATATTCTTAAATAATGTTTAAGAATCAGGGCAGAAACCAAATCAAATCATTCTGGCTGGTTCTCTTGCTTTTGTCATCTTACCTGCCCCGCCCCCCATCAGAGTGTAAACTTTTTGAGGGAAAAGATCTCATTTGTGGTGTTCCTCTCTCTGTCCCCTCCACCCAAGACCTTCCACAATCTTGGCACAGAGTTGGCCCCTTACAACTCTAAAGCATCTATTTCTGCTTTATTGACTATGCCAAAGCCTCTGACTGTGTGAATCACCACAAACTGTGGAAAATTCTTCAAGAGATGGGAATACCAGACCACCTGACCTGCCTCTTGAGAAACCTGTATGCAGGTCAGGAAGCAANTTAAAAAGCAGAGACATTACTTTGCCAACTAAGGTCCGCCTAGTCAAGGTTATGGTTTTTCCAGTAGTCACATAGGGATGTGAGAGTTGAACTATAGAGAAAGTGGAACACGGAAGAATTGATGCTTTTGAACTGTGGTGTTGGAGAAGAGTCTTGAGAGTCCCTTGGACTGCAAGGAGATCCAACCAGTGCATTCTAAATGAAATCAGTCCTGAATATTCACTGGAAGGACTGATTTAGAAGCTGAAACTCCAATACTTTGGCCACCGAATGCGAAGAACTGACTCATTGGGAAAGACCCTGATGCTGGGAAAGACTGAAGGTAGGAGGAGAAGAGGACGACGGAGGATGAGATGGTTGGATGGCATCACCAACTCAGTAGACATGGGTTTGAGTAAACTCTGGGAGTTGGTGATGGACAGGGAGGCCTGGCGTGCTGCAGTCCGTGGGGTCGAAAAAGAGTCGGACACGACTGAGCGACTGAACTGAACCGAACCGTAAAGCACGGAAGAACCTGAAGCATTGGCTGGTCCTCTTTACCTACTTTGAAGGATATTACGCAATAATGTACAGAAATTTCTCCAAGCCATGCTCGTGACAAGCCCACCGACTTATCTCCGCCAATCAGAATGCTTGGCCTCTGTGCCCTAGCTCCCCCTCCGCCCCGCCTCCTCGGTCGCACGAGGCGGAATCTTCCGGTCTCAGACTGTTTTTCTCCCGGAGAGGCCAATGCGCCTGCGCACCGCGCCCTGATTGGCTGAGAGCTGACGCCTTGCGCGTGCAGGCCACAGCCTTGGTTACTAAGGGTGGGAGCCCGGCGAGGGCGCCGGCGGCGGGTGCTGTCTGAGGCTCGCTTCAAGGCCTGGCTACGCTCGCCATGCCGAACCGCCGGGCCAGCCGCAATGCCTACTATTTCTTCGTGCAGGAGAAGATCCCCGAACTACGGCGGAGAGGCCTGCCTGTGGCTCGCGTCGCTGATGCCATCCCCTACTGCTCCCCTGAATGGGCGGTAAGGCAGGAGGCCCGTGAGCCCGGGGCCGGGCAGTTGGCAAGTGGGAGGGCCAGGCGGCAGGGAAAGAGGCCTTGGGAAGACCAGGGACCCCTGGGCCCTGCTGGAGCGGGAGGAAGCTCCCCGGCCCCGGCCCAGGGCAAACCGACGCCGGAACCGCCTCCCAGTGATGTCGAGGCATCTCTTGGGGGCCCCGGGCTCCAGGCCCTCACTGGTGCTTCTTGTTTTCCCTTTCCATCTCCTCAAGCTCCTGGGGGAGGAGGAAAAGGAGAAGTATGCAGAAATGGCTCGACAGTGGAGAGCTGCCCAGGGGAAGGACTCCGGGCCTTCGGAGAAGCAGGTAAAGTTAAGCAGAGAGCAGCCACCTGCCTCACAGGTAGGCATGCTCAGTAAATGCTGGATGAGTGAGTGGGTTAATGTCAAGAGTAGACGACCGGGTGATTTGGGTGAGTGCAAAAAAGAGTTTTTCATTTTTTTCTTGGTGTCAGAATGCTTGCTGAAAAACGGGCAGGCTCCTGAACTAGGGCACACATTGGTTTTGTTTGATGGTGAAGGCCAGGGAAAATCCCATTAGGACACCTGCAACCAATAAACCATGATTAGCAAAAGGGAGTCTTGATATTTAGGATTTGTACTAGATCGCCTATAAGGGTCCTTTTGAATTCTTTTATGATTGAAGAATCTCTTTTCAGATGTTTAACAGTAGTTTGGTCCAGTCTCTCTTTTTGAATGACACTAGTCTGTGTTTAAAATATTGAAATAACAGTATCTGTGGATGTTGATTAATGTTTTGTGTGCCTTACAGGTAAGAGTTAAATAAAGTTTGTTTGAATTTATGTCTGTGTAGCAGAATGTTAAAGCACTGAGTAAAATCTGTTGCTGATTCATATCTAGAAAAGGCAAGGTAAATGTAGAATTTTACCCCCTCCCTCTGTATTCTTCCCATTCTGACATAGCAAAAATTCTATTCTTATTATAAACTGCTAACACTGGATTGAAATTCAGTAGTTTTGCTTGTTTTAGGTTGGAGAGATTTTTATCTTATGGATTTATGTTTGAGTAGAAGCTCTTCTCAGTTGAATTCGTATTAATACTTGATTGTACTTGTGAGCCCTGATTTTTGTGTGTCTTCTTTTCACTACAGTTTCTTAAGATATTTCCCCTCGAAATAAAAGTCATGTTCTACATATACATCATTGAGACTTGGAGTCAGCACAATCTGGTTTTTACTTTGAGTGAAGAATGAACAGTGTTAGAGTACTTTGGCAGATGATACTCTTTTGGCCATTGGACAAGCATGTATTATATGACTCCATAGGATTAGATTATCAGTAGTGGGGAAATGGCTTTCAACAGTAATTGGACTGGTTATTTACCACTCAGCCCCTTGATTCAAAATATTTTTAGATTTTGCCATGTCTGAGTTTTGGTGTTGGTGTTATAGACATTTATTTATGGACTCATTGGGTTTATTGGCTTGGAGTGGTTACTAAAGTAATCTATGCTATGGGTTGTTTCAAAGTTATTTTGCGAAATTTAAGTAGATGATATAAAGTGGGCAAGAGTTTAAATATATGGTTAATGATTACCTTTCTCTTTAGAAACCTATTTGCACCCCACTGAGGAAGCCAGGCATGCTTGTACCAAAGCAGAATGTTTCACCCCCGGATCTGTCAGGCTTGTCTCTAAAAAGTGATCAAGGTAGAGTAATCCTACAGTGTTTTCTTATATAAATTTGGGCACTTAAAATTCTATGCTATGTTGATCAGTAAACTTGTCTTTTCTTCATTTTGATTCTGCATTTCAAAGTAACTGACTATGGTGTTTGAACATGATGGCACTAAAGTTGTAAAAGGTCAGGTAATATGCATTTGTTGAAGTAACACTGGGTTTTTGTTTTTGTTTTTTTTAAACAAAAATCTGGTTTCTACCGTGTCATATGTTATTAGACATACTTTTTGAATTCAAATGTTTATAGCTAGACACTTAAATATGTTTGTTTCAAAAGTAAAGATAAATTGAGCCTAGGGCAGCAAAGAATATAGTTAATCAGAGTCCTTGCTATTCCTTCTGGCTGGTTTTCTCTTTTTTTTTTTTTTTAAATTACATGTGTTCTGACTTTGTTAAAAACTTACTAATCTTTAGCAGTCCTTAAGTGTGGCCAATCCTAGAAAATAATACCCTTCTTACATTTTCACATTTCTTTCTTCCTTTAGAGAATTTATAAGTGGTCTTGTGTGTATTGGTAAAAGGTAGAGAGTGAACTCAATTGTCCATAGTTTGTACTAGAATTTCTCTATACTGATTCTGCTTCGTTTTATTTTCCATACCCTTACATTTCTTGAATATGGGTCACAGCTTTTCTTAAGTCATTACTCATTTAAGGCTTATGTATAGCTAAGTTATGTAGAGCCAGCTGTAAGTTTGAATAATTTTGTTATTTCATGCAAAGAGTGGTTATTGCTTTAATCCTTGGTAAATGTTACGAAAATTTATTTATCTGATACACCTGATTTATTTTCTCTTTTCCAATTTATTTAGGAATATAGGAACAAAAGGAGAAAGTTTCTAAAACTTTTGTTTTTATCAAAGGAGTAAATCTTGAGATGCTCATCTGTTTGTGTTTTGTTTCTTTGAAGCTCTCCTTGGAGGCATTTTTTATTTTTTGAATATTTTTAGCCATGGCGAGCTACCTCCTCACTGTGAACAGCGCTTCCTCCCTTGTGAAATAGGCTGTGTTAAATATTCTCTCCAAGAAGGTATTATGGCAGATTTCCACAGTTTTATAAATCCTGGTAAGTAGCCAATTAGAGTAGATGCTAGATGTTAAAAAGTTACTTTTTTATATTGATCTTATTTGATAATAGTATTTTTCTTAAAAGCAGTTGCGTGGGTGAGTTCTTCAAATGTAGACTGGGTGAAAAACTACTGAGAATGAAGTGTTGACAGAGTTTTTGGTTTGGGCTTTTAACCTCAAGTAAGCATTAAAGTTGAGAGGATAGAATGCCTGAAAAAATCTGTAGCCTGCTGTTTGCTTATCTGTAGTTTTAGAATCTGCTGAAAGCTTTGCTGTTTACTTTCTTTACCCCATCCTTCACATCAACAGTTCCTAGTTTTTAACTTGGTGTTGACTTGTAACCTTGAGCAAAATATTTATCCTCTCTGAACCTATTAATTAATCTGTAAAGTAGGGATAATACCTGTTGGAGGGCTGTTCTAATGTGGGAGACCTGGGTTCGATTCCTGGATTGGGAAGATCCACTGGAAAAGGGAACGACCACCCAGTCCAGTATTTTGGCCTGGAGAATTCCATGGACTGTAGTTCATGGGGTTGCAAAGAGTCAGACACGACTGAGTGACTTTCGCTTTTACTTTTCTAAAGGATACTTGAGAAGGTATGAAAATTGACTAGTATTTAAAAGACTTTCAGAGAATATTATTCCTACTACTATTCCACCCCATCAAAAGCAGTTAGTAATGAACACATAGGATTTGATTCAGTTATCAAGTTGGTATAGTAGTTAGGGGAGTACTGTACCTTTTAGAGATTAGTGGGAGGAATATATAGGGAGAACAGTTTGGGGAAAGAATAATTTCATCTTTAGTCTTGTCAGTTGCTTTAAAATTCATTAAGACAGTCCAACCCTTTTCCTTGTTTTGAAATAACAGGAAAACAAATTTTCCTACTTAAGGAGAGTTGCTACTTAGGACAATTTTTGAACAGGTGTAAAACGTTAAAAAGGCAGAACTGAAGAGACTTTCCTCTGAGAAATATGTCAGTTATCTTGGTATATAAAGGGCCTCATGAGCTGTGGCCTTTTTATGGACTCCTGGCTAAGACTCCTTTAGCACAGATTTTCTTTACCTAGTATTTCTTTCTCTGTGAGGACTAACTTTTTAAAGTAGTGTGAATAATATACCAAGATTCTTTGATAGTCATCATACCTTTGGTTAGGAAAAAACTCCTTTGAGGTTTAAATCTTCTGTAATTTCACATAACAATAGCAATTACCTGTGTTATGATATGGTTGTCTTGTGGAATATCACTGTAGTACAGCTGAGAGCTTCTGGATTTCTGCATCTCTCAATAAAATATTTTGAATTACAGGTGAAATTCCACGAGGATTTCGTTTTCATTGTCAGGCTGCAAGTAAGTATAAAGGAGTGGGATAGAATATAGGCATTGAATATAAGCGCCTGGGTAAGATGCTGTTTAAGCAGACACGTAAAACATTGGGGGAAGATAATCTTAAATTATTGTTGGTAAATCTTCTTAAAAGTGGTAGATAGTGTAGGTAAGCCTTAACATTTTTTAGTTACAAGCAATGTTGGATTATGTTCTTTTTCTTTTTTTGGGGTTTTTTTTTTTTTTTTTTTTTTTTTTCCTGCTTATATCCTTTGGCTTGAAGATCAGTGACTTTTACTGGCCAGGTGCTTAGGTAGGTCTTCTAATAGGTATAAGGTTATCTAGATTTAGGGCTATTCACAGAAATGTCCATTCAAAAGTAAGGGGGGAAAAGTTTATGCTTCAAAAGTAACAGAACAATAGTGTTAAACAGATGAAACAGCTATGAATTGATTTTTCAGATGAAAATAGGTTTCTGTGTAAAGTATCTGCAACTGAAGGATGTGACTATATAAATCTGACGTCTTGTACTCTTTTCTAGAAACTAGATTTTAACCAGTTTTTTATTTCTTTTCAAATAAAAATCAGGATAATAGGTTTGTTTTTTAGTTTTTATTCAAAATGTCAGTGTTTAAAAGTTTTTTTCTTAAAAATGTTGACAACTAGTCTGTAGAAGTGTTTGAAATTAAAAATAAGTTTTTCAAATCTGCTATAACAAGCAGCTGTTTTGTAATACTTATAATATTGTTCTTTATAAATGAAGAGAATATTTTAGATTCACTTTTTATTGTGTTGAGTTTTTCTCAGTATTTTCTTTAGTAAAAAATATGTATTAGTCCCTTTTTTGTTTTATTTTTTAATCAGAGCTGTAGGCTTTGGAACAGGGAGTTTAAGGCAGTGTTTTCGCAAGTTCCCTTATGTAGCTTTGGGTGAAAAAAATGTATAGAATAAAAATGCTGTTGTAACTTTGAGATGTGAACCTAGGTCATCTCAAATGTTAAATTGTCTGAAACTATGTGGCAAAATAGGTAGTAGTAAAAAAGTAAAAGTAGAAACTTAGCTGGTGAATTAATTTCACATTTTTGCTTAAGCTCTGTTTATGGTTTGTTCATCTCATGAATGCATTGGAATCCCTATACACCAGACACTCATTTGTGAGAATGCCCTTTACTGTTTATTTTGTTTCTGATTAATTTTTTTATAGAAATCATTAAAAAAAATTTATTTTTGCAATGTTTTCAAAATTAAATGATTAACAAAGTGTGGTTCTTGAAAACAAACCTATTAAGGTCTCTAGGAATGTTTTCTTAATTTATTTTTCACACTATTTGAAACCAAGCACAATGTTTTTCATTCAGGAAACCTAAAATACTTGAAGCTTACCAATTTAAGCATGTCTTAAATTGCCAATTTGATAACCCCAGGAAAGTATCAATTAAATAAGATAAATGACTGTATTAGAATGACAGCTCTGTCAGCAGAATAACTAAAAATACCGAGGATAGTGTAATCCAGCTGATGTTTCACACAGTAACACTCTGAAAGAGATATACATGATTAATAGCTAAGGATGGTACATTCAGATCTTCCTAATGCTCCTGTGTATCTGGTCTTTAAGAAGTACGTGTGAAACCAAGTGAAGGCTTCATGGGCATTATGGTTTAGCACATTATATTGAAGAGTTTTAAGACTGGAAGAGATTTGGATGGTCTCCCATGTCCTGCCCACCCCTACAGTGTTCCTCTGAATGGGAGCTCAGGTCCTGTGCGTGTGTGTTGGGGGTGCGGGGGTGGGTAGGAGATTCGGGCCCTCTCCTCCTCCCATCCTTCTCCAGAGGCGCTCTGCCTCTTTCCTTTCTATAGTTAATCATGAGACAGAAGTTCTGCTCTAACATGAGCCAAGCCTTAGAAACTGCTTTCAGCTTCCTATATGGAAGGTCTGTCACCTTTTAAAACAAAGCTTCATACACATATAAAAAGATTATAACCTTCACTTAAAGTTTAAAGAGTATTAATGAACAGCAGTGCACCCGCCAGTCAGTTGAAGAAATAGCACTTCACTGTTATCACTGAAGACCCCTATATTTCTCTTGGATTTCATCCCCCCCTAAGAGAACCCCTGTTTTGAATTTTGTGTTACCTCCTTTGTTTTATGAATAGTTTTAGGATAAGTACATATTTAAACAATGTGTTTTACTTTGCTCGTTTGAACCTCTCGCTCGTGTCCGACTCTCTGCAACTCCCATGTGCTGCCCCCCCAGGCTCCTCTGTTCATGGGATTCGTCAGGCAGGAACACTGGAGTGGGGGCTTCCCTTGTGGTGCAGTGAATAAGTCTCTGCGCTCCCAGTGCACGGGGCCCGGATCAGTCCCTGGTCAGGGAACTAGATCCCACATGCCGAAACTAAGATCCGGAGTAGCCAAATAAATACATGTTTTATTAAAAAAAGAAAGAATACTGGAGTGGATAGCCATTCCCTTCTCCAGGTCATCTTTCCAACCCAGGGATTGAACCCAGGTCTCCTTCATTGCAGGCAGATTCTTTACTCTGAGCCATCAGGGAAGCTCCACACATCCTGTATATTTCTCTGTATTTTTTAAATGATGTCTTTCCCCCTATTTCTCTGTTGGATTGTTTGTCATCTTTATTGGTGTATGGAAGTTTATAATATGTCTATCTGTTTTTATTGATTATTTTAATCATGTGCAGATACCTGTTTTCAGCTTTCTGTCATGGGTATTTTAATTTATAGAAGTTTTTATTGTTAATTTAGTAAATTTATCAATTTTTTCCCTGATAGCTTGTGGGGGCTTGGGGTCTTATTTAAGAATTCCCTTTTACTTTTTTTATAGTAAACTTTAAAGAATTTATTTTGACTTGGCAATCATTCCAATTAACTGGAAAAATACAAAAATTTTTTGTTCTTATAATTCAAAATATATTTAAAATAAAACTTCTATAGCAGCCAAACCTTTCATCAAAAATTCAGAACTGCAGTCTCTTAAGGGTAACAAAATGGCCACATACTAATTATCTTGATTATTAACACAGGAAAAAAATATGTGGTTCTTCAGACAAGACTGGCTAGCAGTTGGTACAGTGTTCCTTTCTGGGCACATAAAGCTGTCTTTATTTTATCTGTTCAAACACAGACAGTTGCTCCAACTTCAAAGTTTAAACGGACTTTCAACATTTAATATTGGTGATGCTTGCTAAGATTTAATAACTCCCAGCAATGAGAATCAGAAAATGATCACAATTAAAATTATTGTAAAGGACTTAACTACTACACAGAGTAATCTGCTATTCAGTAGTGTTTTTGAATTACATGGTATTTTTCCACAAACATAGCACCTCATTAAATATCTTGTAAACCACTTTGTAGTTACAATAAGGGTTGGGAGGTTAAGTTCCAAAGAGAATTATGTAATTAGTTTCACATAACATTGAAAGACAATGCAAATCTCAGGCAAAATCAGCATTAGGAATGCAGTCTGTTGACAGTCCATGGAGTCGCCCATACTCCAGTGGATGCTCATCTATAATGGGCACCATCTTATTCAGACATGGTATTAATACTACACTTCCAAAGTCCAAGTAGATAAACATTGAAATGGACTCCTGCTTTACAAATCATCTATTAAATATGCCTATATATGTCTTACATTTAGGTTTTTAATCATTTGGAGTTTATTTTTGTGTACATTCTTAAAGGATGTTTTAATATTGTATCATTCTGTCACATGTGCCTGTCCATTTTTCTCAGCACCACTTACTGAAGAGACTGTCCTTTCTCCATTGTAATTCTTGTCTTCTTTGCTGTAGATTATTGACCATAGGTGAGTGGGTTCATTTCTGGGTTCTCTATCCTATTCCATTGTTCTGTGTTTTTGTATGAGTACCATACTGTTTTGATGACTGTAGCTTTATAGTATAATCTAAAGTCAGGGAGCCTGAGTCCTCCAGCTCTGTCCATCTTAAGATTGCTGTGACTCTTTGGGAGTCCTTTGTGTCTCCATACAGATTTGAAGACTTTTTGCTCTAGTCCTCTAAAGCAGTGCCTTTGGTAATTTGATGGAGATTGCACTGAGTCAGTACACTACCTTGGGTAGTATAATCATGTTGACAATATTGATTCTTCAGATCCAAGAACATGGTGTGTGTATATATATATATATATATATATCTGTGTCATCTTTAGTTTCTTTCCTCTGCATCTTCTAGTGTACAGAGTACAGGTCTTTTGCCTCCTTAGGTTAAGTTTATTCCTAGGTATTTTATTCTTTTTGATGTGATGGCAAATGAGATGGTTTCCTTATTTTTTCTTTCTGTTCTTTTGTTCTTAGTGTGTAGATATGAAACAGATTTCTGTGTATAGTCTCCTAAAATTTTATTGAACTAATGAACTGTAGTAAGTTTTCTGGTAACGTCTTTAGGATTTCCTACGTATAGTATCATGTCATCTGCAAACAGTGACGGTTATACTACTACTTTTCCAATTTGGGTTCCTTTTGTTTTCTCTGATTGCCCTGGCTAGGACTCCCAAACTATGTTCAATAAAAGTGGTGAGAGTAGACATCCTTGTCTTGTTCTTGGTCTTAGAGGGAATGTTTTTAGCTTTTCACCATTGAATATGGTGTTGAATTTGTCATATGTGGCCTTTATTATGCTGAGGTATGTTCCATCTGTGCCCACTTTGCTATGGATTTTCTTTAATTTGTAAATGAGGTGCATCACACTGACTTGGAGATACTTAAAAATACTTCTATCTTTGAGATAAGTCCATTTGATCATGATGTATGATCCTTTTAATATACTGTTGAATTTAGTTTGCTAGTATTTGTTGATGCTTTTGCATCTTTGTTAATTGATACTGGCCTCTAATATTTTTGTGTGTCTTCTTTGCCTGATTTTGGCCTCATAGAATGAGTTTGGGAGTGTTCTTCCTGTGCCATTTTTCAGAATAGTTTCAGAAGGATAGATGTTAACTCTGCTCTAAGTGTTTAATAGAACTCGCCTGTGATGC